TCTCCTGTTTCCCGGAATGGGCGAGATTGTGGGTGGTTCAATGAGGCACACAGTTTATGAGGAACTTATGGAAGGATTCAAACGAGAAGGAATCGATCCAAAGCCATATTATTGGTATTTGGATATGTCAAAGTATGGTCCAAGTCCGCACGGTGGATATGGATTAGGCTTTGAAAGGCTGCTATTGTGTTTGATGAAGTACAAGAGCGTAGATCAAGCATCTTTGTACTGTCGAAAACCATCTAGGTGCACCCCATAATAAAGAACTAAACATACACATTTAGTTTATAACAGGTACTGGGATTTAGGTCTTTTACATCAGAATTAACCCTTGACTACGGCAACAAGCGATATTAATCAATATTCAATAAGTGTTTGCAGCAGTCACATACCATTCACACCAAGATGGATTTGATTACTGTTAAAAACTTTGTCTATGATCACTGATCAAGGTATGTCCGTTTTAACATGCCATCACAAGACATTTTTGGATATTTATGAAGAATAATTGTTAGATCAATTATTAAAATCAAATAAAATAGATAGAGAGTAAGAACAATAAGTAGAGTTATAGGTTAGACGCTCTAAAGCACCATAAAAGAGATGAACCTTAACAATACGAATCAAACAGTTAACCAATAAGATTCCTGTAGAACCTATTGGATTATTTTGATACGAAAATAAGCCTTTCAATAAAATTATTGACAGATATGCACATCAAATGTACATAAATAACATCATAAAACCAATAACAGCATCAAACGCTCACATAAATCCATTTGAATACTACAAAACATTTTTGAAACAGTTTTATTTCAAGATTCACATGTCACTCATATGATTCTCCTGTTAAAGCTATCGACAATTTTATGTCTGTGGCACATTAGTAGTTTCCCAGTCAGTGGTGTTACATTAAGCCAGCTTAGGAGTATTTTATTTGGAAACAACATGTTGCTTCAATACAACAAAAGTAGCTTTCTAAGCGCTACTTTGAAAGGAAAAGCCAAGAAATGGAAGGACAAAGCTGGGTATAACAAGAAGAAAGCAGATAAAGTTATTAAACATTGGAAAAAGGCTGTTAAACATGGTAAACACTACAGAAGACGCAAATCAATAGGAAGCTCATCATCTTCAAGCAGTTCAACAACATCTTATGATAGAAGAAAGCACGTTGCATTTCCAGGAATAGCAAATTTAGAAGATTCAGGTTGCAGTAGTTCAAGTTACAGTGGCAGAAGAAGACATAGGAGGCATCATAGTTCATCAACAGCAAGCAGTTGTGTTGATAATACGATTGAAACACTCTTCCCTAAGAAAGGTCGTCCATTACCAAAGAGAGATGACGTCTACTTTCTTGATGAGAAAGGTGGAATGAAGAAATCATATGGGCCATTCAAAGATGATGAAAGTAGTCCATTTTACTATCCAGGATTACACCAATTAGATGGTAAAATAGGAAAGAGAGTGTTATCAGACCAGGAATACAGGATTCATCCATCATTCATGTCCAAATTAGCAGATGGAGGATTCTATGAACGTAGGGTGATAAAACCAAAAGACGAGAAAGGAGCAGATGTCGTAGAAGAGCGATTTGGATACTTTCCAAAGACAGGAGGTAACTCAAATGAGTCAAATGAGTCAGATGAATCGAGTGAATATCAACCAAAGAAGAAACGTATGGGATCCAATCCTGATATGTCAATATTCAATGCATTTATGCCTGGATATGATAGTCAGGAAAGTGGCCCACAAAATTATCGAACGATGCCTGGGCTTGAAGAGAGAATTGGAAAACAATTTGAAGAACTTAAAAAGTCACAAACTCAAAATAGAGACGAATGGAACAAGAAACACCAGGCACTAGGAAATCGGTTAGACAAATCAACCCAGAAGCTGCAAAGTGGTCTAGATCACAAAATATTGATGGATTTGGGATCAAGGGCAGAACAATTACAGGACAATATTGATAAAGAAAATAACACCAAAGAAGTGGAAAAGAAGAAGAACGACTCAAAGTTCAAGATCATTGGCGGTGAATAAGTGCACCAAACCATTTGATAATCAACTGTTTTAAATAATCTACCTTAATAAATATGATTGTTTTAAAAGGTGTAACTGCTCTGAAACAGCTGATTTTATTCAACTGGTTTCTTCAGAATTATGATTTTTAGATTGCTCCAGATAGCACGAGCAGAAGAGTTTCATCTGTGGAGTGGCCTAGGAGACGCAGCCATAAAAATGGAGACGTCTAGAGGATCAAATGCCAGCATAGTTAAGCCGCACCAGGCCACCAGATTCACAAATGATGGTGGTGACGATGCAGTTCACATTTACAACAACAAGAAGTTTGTTATGGACCATGCAATGTCGAGTCACACGCTCTTGACGTGGTCTGAGAAGAGTTCAACCATACAAAACCAGAGATTTGATTTTCAGGAGACCTGGAACCAAGGCAAGAAGTATTTCAAACTGGAACAGAATGGTAGATGCGCCACACTTGATAAAGGAAGCAACAAAGTGAAGATGGAAACGTGTTCTAGCTCCTATCACCAGGTATTTACGAAAGACTACAGAAAAGTGAAGGGGTTTGAGTTGTACACGAGGGTAGGTGGATTTGGAATAAAGGCGGAGATAAAGCCACATGCGAAAGTAGAAATGGTGAAAGGAGGGGGACAGAAGGTTTTCTACGACAAAAATGACAGGAGATTTGGACTTGCTGATGCCACCAACCTGGTTTTGGATATGGCTGGTTCCAGTGGTAAAGTTCAGGTACTTTACGATAAACCAGGTGAAAGTCACCAGAATGTCGAATTTAAGAAACGAGGACACGGTTACATCGTGAAAGTCAATGGGAAGTGTCTTGAAGCAGACAAGCATAAGATGGAATTCGTATTGAATACGTGTAAAAGATCAAGAAGTCAGATGTTTGTGACAAGTGATAAGGAAACAGGTGATTCAGACAGTGACTCCGAAAGTAGTAGCAAGAGCAAGTCATCAAGTAGCAGCAGTAGTAGTAGCAAAACAACAGAATTGGATGCAATGAATTATCAGGTCAAACAATACAAGAAGTTAATGAGGCGTAACGATAAAGCACTAAGAAATCTAAAGAAGAGACATCGTGGATTTGGAGGCGATTCCAGCAACAGTTCAGATTGCAGTGATTCAGGCTACAAGCATCGTAGAGGAAGACGCAGTCATAGGCCACGAAGGAGAGGAAGATACAGTCGAGGCAGTTCATCTGAGAGCTACAGCTGCTTTGATACGATGCGAAATGGTGGATTTGGTGGAGATGTTGGAAATGGACCACTTTATAGGGGATCACACGGATTAAGGGCATTTGACAGCTGTTCAAGCAGCAGCTCAAATTCCGGATATTTTAGAAGATTCTTCCACTGATTCAGTATAAAACAATACACCAACATTCAGTCAATAAATGATCAATTTCCATACCTTAAAACCGATTTGATAACTAATCTCGTTGCATAGTAACTAATGCCTATGGGGTATACTGCTATGTTTTTGATCTATAACACGGTTTCAGGTAGTTTATCTGTTTTCCGTCTAAACATATGCGAGTCGCAATAGGAGACCAACTTGTAACTTGTGCCAAAACGGTTTTATATTTGAAAACTGGCCTGGTTACAATGGATATCCTAGGGAACCTACTGTGTTTTGTGCTGATTTTGTATAGAAATTCAACACCATCTCCATTCATTGAACTTGGAAACATCACCAGAATGCTATTCGGCAGAAGTCTACTACTGTACCAGAATAAAAGCAACCTGAAGCTATCACAACACTTAAAGGGTAATCTGATGAAATGGAAGAATAAGGCAGTTGATAGACTACAAAAAGCAAAGTCAGAAGTAAAAAAGAAATCAGGTAACCTAAAAGACAGTTCCAGTGAAAGAAATGGTAAAAAATCAGGTAAGAAAAAATCAAAAAGCAAGAAATATATAAAGAAGATGTTAAAAGAAAAGAAGAAATACAAGAAACGGTACAGGAAATTTAGAGACAGGGTGAAATATGGATTCAGACGTAGTAGTTCCTGTTCCAGTAGCAGATCATCTTATTCGACATCAAGAAGTTACAGTTCATCATCAAATAGAACACGTCGTTATAGAAGACTAAGAGCATTTGATGATTCAGGTTGCAGTAGTTCAAGTTACAGTAGTAGAAAAAGACATAGGAGACATCATAGTTCATCAACAACAAGCAGCTGTGTGGATAATACGATTGAAACACTTTTCCCTAAGAAAGGTCGTCCATTACCAAAGAGAGATGACGTCTACTTTCTTGATGAGAAAGGCGGAATGAAGAAATCATATGGGCCATTCAAGGATGATGAAAGTAGTCCATTTTACTATCCAGGATTGCACCAATTGGATGGTAAAATAGGAAAGAGAGTGTTATCAGACCAGGAATACAGGATTCATCCATCATTCATGTCCAAATTAGCAGATGGTGGATTCTATGAACGTAGAGTGATAAAACCAAAAGATGAGAAAGGAGCAGATGTCGTAGAAGAGCGATTTGGATACTTTCCAAAGACAGGAGGTAACTCAAATGAGTCAGATGAATCGAGTGAATATCAACCAAAGAAGAAGCGTATGGGATCCAATCCTGATATGTCAATATTCAATGCATTTATGTCTACTCATCCACATGGTTCTGGCCTAAATCCGTACTCATACGGTACCATGTCACACCTTGAGACCAAAATAGACCAAGAATTTGAAGAAATGAGAAAGGCACAGGAAGGAAGCAGAATCAGGTTCAATTCCAACCAGGATAAGCTACAGGATAAAATAAACAAGGAAACAACCAGATTAGAGAACACCCTGGATACCAAGATAACCACAGATATAGCAAAGAAACAGTCTGAATTAATGGATGACGTAGACGGCAAAAAGAACAGGAAGTACAG